GAAACCCCTAAACTAAACTCCAGCTGCCGTGGCGTGGGGCAGGCAGGGATGCCAGGGCCCAAGGAGGGGTGCTGGATTTGGGGTGAAAAAGCCCAGCAAACCTGCAGCGATGGGCAGCGCAGAAGCCAGCCCCTCGGCTCCCCCCATCCCACCACCTCCGTGGGGCTCATGGGGAAGCGCCTGTCCGGGGGTCAGCGCCCGGCCGGGCTCTTGACCGACAGCCACATTCCTTTGTCCTGATTTTATTCATTAGCAACGTTTGGCCTGGACACAGAGACAGCTAATGAGGGACTGAGTTTATTGCAGTTTGATTTTTCTGTTAAAACAATACAATAAAATAAATGCACTTGGAAATCTGGTATGTGTTTGTACATAGGAGATTTATGGCTCTGGAGGCTTCCAGAGAGACGCAGCCTTTCATTCCCTTCCTTATTGGAACAGATCATATTGCAGAGTTTAAAGGGCTCTGGAGTTGTGATTTATTTGAAGGGAGAAACTAGGGAAATCCAACTATCTGTTCCCTGGCTCAGATCATCCAGTCACTCCCCGGCCAAGGGGACGGATCTGCACCTCCTCCATAGATATTTTTTTTTCCCCCCCTCCTGTCACTTACATTATCCCGCTCTAAATATATCACTGAGACAGGGCTGACTCCTGACCTGGGCTTCAGCACCTCGCCGAGGCTTCCCCAGCCCTTCCCGGAATCCCACAAATAAATCACCCTCCTGGAGCCCTTTCCGAGCAGCTCTGTGCCGCTCACGGGACGGGACCTGCGTGGGGCCGGGCACTGCCTTCATCCAGAGCAGAGATCAAGGCAGAGATCTTGTATTTTATCTCCAGAATCGGGTGATAAATCTGTGCCATCGGTGCCTGGTTCCTGTCGAGGGAGCCCTTTCCCCTCCCTTGCTGCTCTCCCGGGGTTTATGCAGCCCCTGGGCAGAGGAGAGCACAGTGGCTTGGATCCAGGTCAGGATTTGTGCCTGAAAGCCTTTTCCATGCACTGCCTAACCTGCCTTGTTCCTGCGGCTCAGCTGGACCCGGCGATGGGGGGATGATGCTGTGGCTCCTGCATCCGAGCGGGACCGTGCTCCGTCCCAGGGCTGCCCTTGCCGCATCCCTCCCGCCCTTATGGAGGAAAACTGGGCTTTGCCCCTCTCTGAGGTTTCCTGCACCTCAAGGATGAAGTTGTGGGGACAACTGGAGTATCACCACGATGGCTCGATGCTTGGTGCTGCCGTGGTGTGCCCCAGCGCCACCCCACTAATCCCAGTGGTTCCCATCGGCAGGAGCAGGGTGAGACTGCTCCCCCCAGCCCCAAAACAGGCTTTTTCTAAAGCATTTCCCATTTGCGGGCAGGAACCCTCTGGGTTTTGGTGCAAAACCCCTCCTGCTTCTCCCTGGTCCCGGGTACCTCTGGGACATTCAGGAATGACCGGTTTGAGTCCCGCCAGCAGCATTCATCCTTCCCCGTGCCGTGTCGGGAGGCCCACGGAGGAGATTTCCCTTCTCCTCCACCATGACCATCTTGGCTGCGGGGCAGACGAAGGGAAGGAGGTTTCCAGCCCAGGGGGGCACCAGCTCCGGCAGCCGCTCCCCTCCTCCTGCCCCTGCTCCGTCTCAGTTTCTCCAGCCCGTGTTTTTTTTCGCGGGGTATTTTCTCCCCCTGCGCACAGACGGGCTCTGTTTGCCATTAGCTTCCCCTCCTCTGCCCTAGGAGCTGATCCGAGTGCTAATTCTCACGCATGTTTTGGGTAAATCTACTTTCTTTCCTGGGATGAATTGTGGTTTCCAAGCACCATTAATCATTTCCCTTTAGAAAACAGCGTCGGGGGGCTGGAAACATTGCTCCTTTATTTACTGGGAGGATGACCTGGCACGCTGGCGCCCAGCCACGGGGCTGGCGTCTGCGGGACGACGCAGAGCAAAGCCTCGGGGTGAGCTCCCCTCCGCTCTGCCGGGACGGCGGCGTTGGCTCCTGCTGGGACCATCCCTCCGGAGGATGAACGTCCCAGCCTGGAGGTTAGGGGGGAGCAAGAGGATGGAGCGAAAAGCCAAAATGCCGC